CTTATTCCTTTAAAATATTGCATCCAAGCCGGGCTCAGTGGCTCAGCCTGTAATTCCGCGCTTTGGGAGGCTAAGGTGAGTGGATTGCCTGAGCCCACGGGTTCGAGACCCACCTGGGCAACTTGGCAAGACCTCATCTCTACAATAAATAAAAAAATTAGCCAGGCATGGTAGCGCGCACCTGTAGTTCCAGCTACTTGGAAGGCTGAGGCAGAAGGATCGCCGGAGCCCAGCAGGTCAAGGCTGTAGTGGTCGGGAGCGGCCACTGCACTCCAGTCTGGGTGACAGAGTGAGACTCCAACTCAAAAACAAAAAACAAAAAACAAAATAAAATAAAATAAAATATTGCATCTGAAAAATAATCTTAAATTCCCTTAAACTCATAAGTAAAACTAGCTTTTTATGAATAAGTAGATAATATCTTGACTTTTGCCCATTGTGGAAAACACACAAGATTACGATTCATACAGGCAACCTGTGTAGCCAGCTGGGATATATCAGAACCCTGAAAGAAATAGACTGTGGAACTCAGCTTCAGTTACGACTTTTGAGCAGATCAAACATACAAGCTCAAGACCATCCTCTAAGTCATGCTATTAGAGATTTTTCAACACTGATTACAAAACTTAATTTTTGAAACTGTATCTTTCCTTGAAAGGTAGTAGATTTTTCTTAATCGATGACATTATACATTGTGCCATAAAAATTTTAAATTTTAAAATTCAAAATACAATCAATTCTAAGGTTATTCTCTGGAATTGGTTAATAGAGAAAGCCAGCAAAACAGATCAATTAACAATTCTTTGAGCATGCACATATATACCTTGAGCACAACTGACAGCCTGTGTTAGAAAGTATTTGTGCGCTGAAGATTCTATCGTCTCAGGCAGCTAACTAATCTTCTTCCCATTTATAGCAGGTAGGTGTTGCATTCTTGGGTGATCCCTGTCGAAGTATTCCAAGTGTGTAGAAAAGCATGCCCACAAAATGAATGGACATTATAGCATATTGTTTCATAAACATGGATCTCAGACCCAATCACACCTATCACTGAAAAATAATAGCTTATAAGACAGAGAAGATATCAAAGTCTGGGATTTTAGTTCTGACTTATGTAATCTTGAGCAAGTCACTAACTCTGTGACCGTTTTCATCTCTGTATAATGGCATGACTTTGGAGAAATGTCTGAAATTTAAATAAAATTCTATGTATAAATTACTTAATCATAGGTAGGAAGGAGGACTATTAGGCAATGTGTCATGAGGAAAAGAAGTGGAACACCTGGTCAAAGACCTGTGGAGGTTTTAATTAACCAGCCACGGTCATGCGACCAATCTCAGCATGAGCCACAGAGGTTGGCACAAAGAAAAATATTGTGTCTATATACTTCTCTCCTAAACCCAACCAAGTATGTTAACCATGTACACTGGGTCACCACAGGGCTAGGTGAAAGTACACGTGACAACAAAAGCTACCTTCATTCCTAAACAATGAGTGGTGTCATTTTACATTCAACAGATATTCTACTTGGACACTTATGTGGGTGCAGCCCTTAGGAGGGGGAAGCGCAGCCCTAAAGCTCCCTGTAAGCACACTGACTCTTGCTGGAGAGCCAGGGCTGGCTTTACATTAGCCTCCACCCCATAATCTCCATCTGCCCCTTTCTCCACCATATTCCTTGTTATGAACAATGGGCATGTTCTCAGTCCTACATAAAGTGCTAAGTACACTTCAAGTTCCCCTTTCCAACTAGATTCCTGCCACTCACCTCCCCCCTTCATCAATAAAAGAATTCTGGGCCAGGTGCTCACAACTGTAATCCCAACACTTTGGAAGGCTGAGGCAGGAGGATTGCTTGAGCTCAGGAGTTCAAGACCAGCCTAGGCAACATAGCGAGATCCTGTCTCTACAAAAAATCCAAAGTATAGCTGGGCATGGGGGTGCATGCCTGTAATCCTAGCTACTTGGGAGGCTGAGGCAGAAGTATCACCTGAGTCCAGGAGGTCAAGGCTGTGATGAGCCGTGATTGTGTCACTGCACTCCAGCCTGGGTGACAGAGTGAGACCTCAATTAAAAAAAAAAAGCCTGGAGTTTCCACCGATAAGGTCTATAATTGTTAAAGGAACATCACGATTAAGCAACTCATCATTACATTCTGCATGAGAAAAATAGACAAGCGCACTTTGGAGGAAGGAGGCACAGCCTAATTAAGACAGACAGTGACCAGGCGCAAGGGGGGGCGTTCCTCCATGTGACCAAGCAGTGAGCACTCAGCAAACAGCTTCTGTGTATTTCAGAGTAAAAGCACTCAATTGCTACAAAAAAAGAGTCCTCTGTCAACCAGGGCCCTGAATGACAGACACTCGGTAATACTTTTGAGAAAGCGTGGCTTCTCTCTAGCAGCTCCAGGAAGTCACTTATTCCTCATTTTGACAAAGTAGCATCCAACTTCAGGCATGACTGTATATATAACTCTCCATGTAGCTGAGCCATCATAAACACGCCGAGTACAAAGGCATGTCAGAAAGACATTTCTCCTCCCCAAAGCATGGCCCCAAGAAGCCATTATTATAATAGAGTATGAAGTTCTGCTGCGGGTTATTGACTTATAATATTAACCATAAAGTCCTGCATAGGACATAAAGGGTTACACTTGGACATGAAGTAGTAAGACACAATCCACTGACTATTTTACATTTACTGTACACCTAAGACCATCTTCTTCACTACACCAGTTGTGCATGTATGTGTATGTGTGTGCATGAACGTATGTGTGTGTGCATACTTGAGTATATATATATATATATATATATATATATATATATATATATATGTCCTCTTTTGGTAGAACACAAATGTTGGAGAGGAGGCAAAATATAATGCAGCTTCTGCTGATTCCATTAGACCATCTGCAGAAAACTGGAAGAAGTTCCCAAGACCCAAGTTGCTGGTGTCTCTTTCGAGAACTTGGTTGAGAACTTGGTTGACTTATTTTATTGGCACTCTGAATCAAGACGACCTCAAGGGCCAAGACTTGTCTCCTGCAAACCTAATTCCATACAGACCTTAACTCAGCACTTAAATATGTTTGGAACTGGCTACAAATTGGGACTTCCTCAAATGATATTAAAAGCTCTACACAAAAGGTGTGCAAAAGCAGTTACTAGTTTTTCAAGAATAAAGACCTAACTGCAAAAAAGCAACAACAGGAACAGATTGGGACAGCAGTGATCACGTAACAAATAGAGCAGAGGATGACCTTCATAAAAAAAATTGCTGCCTCAATACTTTACTGATTAAAACAAAATGATTCTCCCAACATGATTTTTTTAAGTGAAAGAGTCCACTGCTGTGTTTGAAGTGGAGTTGGTTCTGGTAGTCAAAGGACGGGGAATGCTGCCTAAGGTATGCAATACTGTATGATACAAAGTCTAACATTTGCTTCCACAACACCCAGTCAGTTCCTGGAGGGCACAATAGTGCTTTCTAGCTGTATCCAGGGCTTTTTTCTTGTGGCATTTTAAAAAACGTAGCTGTAGTTGAGTCTGGAGCTTTCTCTGCTGCAGAGGTCCTGACCGGCCACTCAGCGCTGGGAGATTTTGGGGCTTGTGAGGCTGGTGTGGTAGACTCCATTGCGTCCATGTGAACTAGTAAGGTTTTAAAAGGAAGGAGAAAAAAAGTCAAGGGGAGATAAATTAGAATAAGACAAATTAGAATGAGAGACAGAAACAAAATTTTCTTCATCCTTATATTTAAAGCCCTGTTAACCTAAGTGGCTACATAAGGTCTCTATTTTTTCTCTACAAAAAAAATAAAGGCAAGATTTAAGATGAGTATTTTTCCCCCTGAGAAAATGGGTTCAGTTGAACAGATAAGTTCAGTAGGACAAATTCATAATGTAGTAATCTCTTACTAAGCACTCTTGTGTCAGGCACTGTATTGCTTAAACACTGCACACTCACAATCGTATTTCTTAATGAAATCCCTTACTCATAGAAATGGTCATCTCCAGATCAGGAAACTGAGGTGTAGAGAGACCTGATCAACTCTTCAAGAAGGCAACAGAGCTAGGTAGACAGCAGGCTGCAAACTCACTGGACTACAAGCCCTGTGCTCTTTCTACCATACCCCACGTCTTCAGTAGGACAGTGTCACCAATGAACATGTACCACAGAACAAGGCAAGTGGCAGAAAACAAACACAGTTAGGCCTAGTATTTTTCAATATGGTCACTAAAGACATTCTGGACAGGATAACCACTGCTTGCACAAGGCTGCCTGAAGACTGCTGAACACTCGCCATTGAAAGCCATAACACTCTCCAGTCACCGTGGCAACCAAGCATTCTCATCACATCTACAAATGCCCCTGAGCGGAGCAGTACACACCACCATCATCACCACTCACTCTTATGAGAACAAATGCACACCAACATATTACAAGAGGAAAGTTTAGATTTTACCCTTACCCAGTAATTCCACTCCCCAGGAATGTAACTTAGAACAGTAATTTTCAAACTGTGGGCCACAAAACCAATTTAGTGGGTCACGCCCATTACTTTTTTTTTTTTCCAATGAAAAAAATAGAAAATATCAGAGTGCATTCATGGTCTATTTTAGATTTACATGTTCACCTACACACATATTTAAACATTGATTTCTTACTGTGGGTTAACATAAACAAATCTTGAAAGCTATTACTGTATAGCACATATATAAGAGTTTTTTTCAACATTTTGACAACATCAACCACAAGAAATACATTTGGCAACTCATCTTTCCCTTTCTCTCTCTCTCTCATACACATACAACAAGCTTACACACACACACTCATTCATATTTAACTTATAATAAATTTCAGAAAACTATGCCTATCCTTACTACATGGTCACCAAACCACAGTGAAAAAAATCCTACACTAGAAAAAAAAATTTTTTTTTTTTTGCTATTTCTTCTTATGGTAAAATATACACAAAATTTACCATTTTACCATTTTTAAGTGTATAGCTCAGTAGCATGAACTATATTCACACTGTCGCGTAGCTATCACCACTGTCTGTCACCAGGACCTTTTAATTATCCCCAGTGGAAAATCTGTACCTATTAAATAACACCCATGTCCCACTTCCCCCAGCCCCTGGCAACTACCATTCTACTTTGTGTTTCCAAGAATTTGACTTTTCTGGGTAGCTCATAAAGGTGGAATCATACAGTATTTGCCCTTTTATGTCTGGCTTATTTCACTTAGCATAACGTCTCATCAATGTTGTAGCATGTGTGAGAGTTTTATTCTGCATAATAAAGGCTTTCAGGCTGAATAACATCCTGCTGTAGGAATAAAGCACACTGTTGACCCCTTCAGCCAGTAATGGCTATTTGAGTTGTTTCCACCTTCTGGCTATTTTGAATAATGCTGCTGAGAACATGGCTGTACAAAAATCTGTCTGAGTCTCTGCTCTTAATTCTTTGGGTATATATTCAGAAACAGAATTGCTGAATCATATAGATGGTAATTTCACGTTTCCTTTTTTTGAGGAGCCGCCATGCTGTTTTGCACAGGGACGCACCATCTACCTACCCACCATCAGTGACAAGGGTTCCAACATCCCACAATCTCAGCAACACCGGATGCTCTGCTTTTGATACAGCCATCCTAATAAGTGTGAAGTAGCCTAGAAGAATGTTCATACTTGTTCTCTCCAGAGAACAGTGCAGTCTTTTTCACAATAGCTTGAAACAGGATACAAGCCAAATGTCTATCAAGAATGTTTAATTATAGCATATTAATCATATCCATAAAATGGAATATCATATACATGGCAATTAAAAATGAATGGATTTTGGCAGGACAAAACATGAATGAATCTCAAGAACAAAACTGGAGAAACTAACAAAATATGACATACAGTTTGATTCCACTTACACAAGGTTCAAAAAACACAAAACTAGACAATAGATTGCTTAAAGACACATGTTTGTTAAAACTACTTGAAAAAGCAAAATAATGATAAATAATAAACAAAAAATCAGAACAACGTTTACCTGAGAATAGAAAGAAGGCTTTAAGGGTAACATTCTTTTTCTTACAGGGGATGGTGGGTATGTGGGCATTCGCTCTACTGTTTTTCTTTATACTTTACATATCTACTACAAATGGTCCTTAACAGTCATTCAGTACTTACTAAGAAACATTTTTAACTTTAAAAAACATTTAAGTTATTTTAAAAAGCCATTGTGGGCAATAAGAATGTGCCCTGGCCGGGTTTGGTGGCTCAACCTGTAATCCCACTTTGGGAGGCCAAGGCAAGTGGATTGCCTGAGCCCATGGGTTCAACACCAGCTCGAACAACTTGACAAGACCTCATCTCTACAATAAATTTTAAAAAATTAGCTGGGCATGGTAGCGCATGCCTGTAGTTCCAGCTACTTGGAAGGCTGAGGTGGAAGGATTGCTGGAGCCCAGCAGGTCGACACTGGGGTGGCCATAAGTGTGCCACACAGCATTCCAACCTGGGTGACAAAGTGAGACTCCAACTCAAAAAAAAAGGAATGCGACCTATGACTCCTGAGACAAGGGATGTTCTAAAATGGAATGACTCAATCTAACCATGGGGTTAGAATGATAAATAATATCAAGAATAACTCTATTTCAACTTTAAAATCCCATTCATTTATGTACACCTAGTGTGCGTAGGTATGGGCTAGGTATTCTCCTAGATGCTAGGGATACATGGTGAGCCAACAGATAAAAATTCCTGCCCTAGTGAATACATCTCTAGTGTCACCAGCCTGGTATTCAAAATCTGATGTAACTAATTAACAGATTAACTGTTAGGTACCCTTCTGAATGATACTCTAAGGACACATAGCTTACCCAGAAAGAGAAAGGTCAGAAGAGGCTTTTGGAAAAGCTCAAATATATTCACACAAATAGCTGGGCTCTAAAGAGAATCTCTGATTACCTCAATTCCCCATCCCCAAAAGCCATGTGTTGACTTTTTTGAAGGACTGGGATTTGCCAAAGGCTTTGATCTACTATTGTGGTAAAGAAAATCATTTCAAGAAAATGAAGTCTGGTTTTCATCTGGGTTCGTTATTTTCCTTGCAGCTGAATTCTTCTAAATTTTGGAGAAAACAATCCATGTTTTCCCCAAGCACATCTTTAAGAGCATGCACTACAAGTTCAGTTCAGCAGGAGGGAGGCTTGCTGAGAAATTCCTGTTCTGATGATCTGCATGCTTCCTCACTAAGATCTAGGGTATGGCTCTGTGCACTAGACACCCTCATGCTATAAAGCCGTAAAGGAGAGGAGAGTGAAGGCAGAAAGAAGAAAAGAAAGGCACTACACTTTCCAGATGGGTCTGCTTAACAACCCGTGGTCGTTTACCGCTCTTTTCTCTGGTCTCTTGTTACTGTTAGTACAAAAAAACAAGGAAGACACACTGCCTCCTCCTGCTCTTCACCTCTCTCGCCTTATTAATGTCTTTAAATTCAGTCAATTTCAACTCAAAACTTTCTACCAGTGGGGGAGGGAAAACAGGAAAAAGATTTGTGGCTGCATGTTTAAGAAAGAAGCTGAATTCATCACAGTGACAGGGGAGAGTGTTGGCAGAGATCTGAGCTATTTATTCTTTTAGGAAAATCCTATAAAGAATGACACAAGGAAGCCTCTATCTGCAGCCTTGTTCATCACACTGGTGAAGAGTCCGATAACAGATGTATGCAGTGGCGTGATTTAGTGCCAGGAGCTGGCCCCTGATGTGTATTAATACAGCAGCAAAGCAGAACGCACCTCTCTTCATCACTCATTTCTATAAAAGAGGTGGAATCCGAGATGGCCCAATGTTAGGCAGAGCAAGCCCATTTGTTCTACTGACTGATGGCACAGGCTCAGGCTGTGTCCTTCACCTCCATGGGGCACTCAGGTTGTGGGAAGAAAAAAAAGAAAATGCTCAGTGAAGCAGGGCTTAGTCAACAAGTGAGAGGAGAGGAGCCGGGCTCAGCAGGGGAATGGTTCATGCTCCAGTCTTGTTTAAAACCCTCAGTTTATTTTCCAATCTGAATATGGAACACGGATTTTCAACTCTTTCCCATGGTTCTTCTCTTATAAAGAATTAGAAGACAAAAACAGAAGCCAGATATTAAGGAGGAAAAAAAAAAAAGAGGGGAGGGTTTTGTTTTAATGCTTTGAACACCATCAGCTGCTTGAGGATCTGAGTTCTGACATTGGGTCGTAGCTTGTAATCAGTCCTATTGTGTATGAAAAGACAGAATGCCTAGCGCTTGCAAGGGCCACTCTAGAGTCACATGGAAGCTGATCTGATCCTGACTTGCAATCTGCAACCATGTGGCTTTGGGGAAGTGATTCCAGCCTCCGTTTTCTCATGTATAAATTGGGAATAAAAACAGCATCGATTATATGAAATAATGCCTGCAAAGTGTTTAGCCCAGGCCCTGGCCATGTGGAAAGCACTAAAAAAATGTACCATGCTCATTGGTCCTGTGATTAAGATTGCCCAGTATGAACCATCATGAAGCAAAGTCCCCAACAGCAGCTCACAGAGGACAACTTCGGAGTTTGCCAGAACAGACTCAGTCAAGGTAGAGGGTAAGGCCCCACATCTGTCTGAAGCTTACTCTTTACTCAGCTGGCAATTGCTCGGATCTTTATAATACACAGTATTTTCTGAGGAAGATAAAATACTCAATATTCAGTTTTCTTGCTGATATAAATGCATAACTATCCCTCTTTCTTCACTTAAGGGTAATATTCAGGCAGTAAAGTATAAAAATCTCAAGTGCAAGCCGGGCTCGGTGGCTCAGCCTGTCATCCCGTGCCTTTGGGAGGCTGAGGTGAGTG